AGTTGAGCTCGGAACGTCGCAGCTTGGAAGCCTAGAGACCCCCGTTGAGCTTGAGAAGGCCCCGTTGACACTTGGTGAGCATGGATTGAGTGAATTTTATTTTCATGACATGAGCATGGCAGCCCCGCATGTGACACATGGTAGCAGCTCTGAAGCCATGAGAGGCTTCTGGGGCATCTTCTTCACTTTCGGCTTCTTTGGCATGGGCTTCTGCTGGGGGATCTTGGCGGGTCCTGCGGTCTCGATCTCGCCCGGCTTCAACACCACCTGGGACTCGGTCTCCGCGGGCACCAGGAGGATCGCGCCCTCTGTCTCCGTGGACGTAGCTGTGGCCAACCGGGTGCTCTCCTCGAAGTCCTCTTCTCCCACCGAGATTGAGGCCGCTTGAGTCGCCACGACTCTCCGGACCAGCTTCCCTTTGTCTTTCCCTTCCATGCGCCATTCCACTTCGCTCTCGCTGGAGGAGGCCATCTTCTCGGGCTGCGGAAGGTCTCGCACTCGAGGGGTCTGCAATCTGCTGCGCTGCACTCTGCTCTTGAGACACCAAACAGGCCCGTGCCACCGCATGACTCTTCAACCAGCAACAGTTGTTGGACCATACAGCCTTAAATTTAAAACCACCAGCTTGCACGTGGAGATGGGGGGCAAAAGAAACTGTCCAATTCCTATTCAGGAGTCGTCCTAGGCTCAGGAGATTAAATCGCACAGGTGCAACCAGGGCTTCAAACTCAACGACGATAGGACTGGATCTCTCAACGGCAAAGCAAACGCGAACCACAGCACTCTTCTGAACCCCTATGGAAGCACCCGTGGCAGTCACACAGTCTCTACCAACGTGCTCACTCAGGCTCAGCACTTGCACATGCTGCAGTGTCTCCTCGCTGATCAGGTGTCTCGTGAAGAGAATGCCAAAGGCAGCGAGCTCTTCGTCGACAAAGAGGACCCCCGTGAAGCTGGTGCCTCGTTCCGATCGCCAGCAGCCGTGGTTGACGTTGTGGAGGGCAAGTTCAAGGGCAGTGAAGAAGCAGAAGCTCAAGGAAAGCTGCATGACGTCAGCTGCAAAGTCCGATTTGAATCGCTTTCGCAAGGAGAAGAAGGGCCCAGAGAGGAGGACGCTGGAGGAGCACCTCAAGGAGCATATTTTGCAGTGCCTGAACCGCAAGGCCCCCTACACTGTGACGACCATCTCCGAGATCATCAAGGAGAAAGCAAAGCCCCCGAGCCCACCGAGGAAGGAAGCCGACTCCCCGGGGTACCCGGAAAGGTTGCCTACCCCTCCGCGGGTTCCGCCACGTCGACGCTTGCCCACGCCTCCGAGGAATCCGACATCGCCAAGGGCCAGCGCATCACGGGCACCAGCTACGCCGCCAAAGACATCGCCATTGCCACCACCACCGACCAATCCCGGAACGCCTACTTCGAGTGGATGGAGTGTGGTGACGGACCGAAAGCGCTGAGTGCAGTCAGCCAGAAAGGATCTTCCCAGGCAGTGGCGAGCAGCAAAAATCTTGATGTGCTTGATGGTTGTGCTTGCGCTTGTGATGTTGGCATGAGTGGCATGGTTGGCATGAGTGGCATGGTTGAGCATGTGTGTGTTGGTGAGCTTGATCAGGAGAAAGCACCGGCCCCAGACGGCGACCAGGCGTGGTTGCTACGTGGTGATCAGGAGTTGCTTCACCAGGAGTTATGGGGAAAGGTTCACCGTGAGCATGTGTTGCGAAGTCATGTTCCTTTTAATTCCAGCTGTGAGCATTGCGTGCGTGGTAGAGGCCTTGAACCAGCTAGGAAAATCGAGAGGGATTCCGGAGAGGGAGCCCAAAAGGAGGTTCAGATCGACAAGTTCTTCTACAAGGGGATTTGGTTCCTGGTGTTGGTGCTTGTTGGTTGCTTTGCCATCGGAACAGTGATGTACCGTGAAGTTTCAGGACCGCGTGGAGCAGCAGCGCGTGAGGTGATGCTTGGAGAGATGTCGGCGTGGGGACGTAGTGTTGGCTTGGTTGGAGTTGAAGCGCGTGACTTGTCGGTTTGCGTGAAGTCGGACCTTGAGGGGGTGGTGAAGAACCTTGCTCAGGGTTTCGCTGATACCATGACCGTTGGTGCGGTTGAGGTGTCTGATGTTCCGGTTGGTCGGCACGCCCCGGTCGCAGAGAGGGCCATCCGAACATTGAAGGAAACCGCGAACACGTTGTGCGCCGGACTGGAGCAAGTTGGCCTAGAGCCATGTGGCAGAGGAGGTAGCTTTCTTCTCTCTCACTGTGCTCAGGCACACAACCGCTACCAAATTCAGCCTGGATCGGCAATGACTCCTGAACAACGTAGTTTAAGAACTATGAGGCAGCCTCGGGCGATATACGTCTGGGGAGCGTCAATCTTAGCCACACCTCCGCCGAGTCTAAGACAATCCATCACGGGCAGATATGGACAGGCTGCGTACTTAGGCCCTGAAGTCGCGGGTGGCAGTCATCTGGTGCAGTTCCGACTGAAGGATGGTTCGTTGAAGATTGCTCGGTCAGCCCGAATCAGGATGTTGGTGCCCATGACCTTTGAGTTGTCAGCCTTGCGTGGTATTTGTCGTATGTTGCCCGAGCGTGCTGGTGACGTTGTGCGTGGCTTGCCAGCGGTTGACCAAGGGAACATGCGTGATCTTCCAATCCCAAACACCGAGACTCGCGGACCGCCAGCATCGTGGGTCGAGGAAAATGGCAGGACCCCGAGGTGTCGAGCGTGTCGATTGAGGGGTGTTCCGGCGGACAAGGCGTGGCACACTCAGAAGTGTCGTGACAGATACGCTGCGTACGTGAAGAGCTCTTTTGATCCGAATCAGTTTGTGCTTGATGATGCCCAGCATGAGTTGGAGATCGAAGGAGTTGAGCTTGATCTTGGTTCGCGTGCTTTTGGTGAGCTTGACGTCGGGTTGGAGTTGCCTGATGATGTGCAGGATTATGAACCGACTGAAGATGAGGGAGAGCGAGGCCTCGGTGAGTCCTTCTTGCCTGAAGGGGTGCTTGAGGGTGAACTTCGTCCCGGAGACTCTGTTGGAGTTGAACCTGCAGCTTCAGAAGAGGCTGACTTCATGGAAGTTGAGCCAGAAAGCCTGGATCGGGTGCCAGAACCAGAGTCCGATGCCATGGTCAACAACGTCTTGTTCCGTGAGTCGTTGGGTTTCGCCGCTGTTGCAAATCCCAGTACCGGAGGACAGACAGTGAAGCTTGGTGGTGAGACTCTTGTGGTTGAAATGCCCTCGTCTTCCAAGGATGATGTCACCGGACATGCATTGGACCTTGGTCTGACCTACGAAGGCATGTTGCGTGAGTTGAGTGCGCTTGAATCCCTTGCAGTCGGTGATGTGATTTGGCATGTGGATCCGAAGCAGAAAGTGATATCCACAAGATGGGTGTCAAATGCGAAGCTGGAGCGGATTGACGGCCAAGAAAGACCACTGGTCCGTTGTCGGGTTGTTGCGCGTGATTTCGCACAGGGAGCAACGGCTGCTCAGCTTGGCATTTCTGCGGCGACCAGCTCAGCCGAGGCATTGAGGACCTTCCTCTTTTATGCCGGCTCGAAGAGGCAGAACGTCGTAGGCCTCGACGTCAGTACGGCGTTCTTGTTCGCAGAGTTAGGCGAAGAAGACGGCACGGTAGTGGTGCGGCTCCCTGCTGGAGTTACCGGTCCCAATGGAAGGCCTGGGTTCATGCGACTTCGCAAAGCTCTTTACGGTTTGAGAGCCGCGGCCCAGACCTGGGCTCGTCATCTCGCAAAGCTCCTCAAGCGCCTCTGCGACCTCACTCCATGTGAAACAGAGCCATGCCTCTTCTCAGGTGTGGTTCTCGATGGACAGAGGGTGGCAGTGTTGTGCTACGTAGACGATCTCCTCATCAGCGGCGACAGCGACGAGGCCATATACTACGTGGTGGAGAAGCTTAAAAGCGCGGTGAAGATCAAGGTGACCGCTGATTTGGATCGTGATCAGCAAATCACGTTTCTTGGTCGTCAGATCACCAGGAAGAAGGGCGAGGACTCTTTGGTGATTGGCATGGCAGGCGAGTACTACCAGGAGATCTATGAGGGTTTTGGACTTGGGAAGAGTCCGAAGTCTTGCCCGACGCCGCCGAATCTTCGAGAACTTTACGACAGAGAAGAAGAAGTCTTGGAGCGGGAGTTGAGCTCAGAAGCTGCTGCTCGATATCGCTCTACGTTGGGACGCCTTTCATGGTTGGCCATGACGCGTGTGGATCTAGCATATTATGTTTCCATGCTAGCTCGAGGCCAGGCCAGTCCACGTGAGAAGCATGAACGTGCGATGCGGATGGTATTACGGTATCTCCGGCATGTTCAGGATTTTCGACAAATCGTCCATCCAGTTGATGAACGGAGCCTTCGGTTGGATTGCTACGTGGATGCGTCATGGGGCAGTGAGAGGAGCGTTGATCGCAAGAGTGTGAGTGGTGGTTGCATCATGCTTGGTGGTTTCTGCTTGAAAGCGTGGTCACGGCTTCAACAAGCTGTCGCTCTCAGCTCAGCAGAGTCGGAGTTGTACGGATTGGTTGAGGGAGCGAAGGAATCACTTTCAATCCGAAGGGCAATTTCCCACGTGTTTGGATGGGAGGAGTTGTGCGCACCGCACCTCTTTTGCGACTCCGAGGCCGCCATCGCCATCAGTCGGGCTGACGGCTTGAGGCGTGTCAGACATATAGATCTGAGAGCATGCTTTATACAAGAAGGCTCACAGCCGTAGCAACTTGGTAGTGGGGTTTTTCGTGTCTTTTCGTGCTTTCTTCTCCCTCTTTTCCTCTCTTCGCTCCCTCTTTCTCCCCCTTTCTTTTCTTCCTTTCGGTGGTGTTTGGGGTGGGTTCCGGGTGTGAGTCCTGGTCCTCCCTCTCTTCTGGTTTGATTTCGGGCAGGCCGGCCGTGGGCGGGGTAGCTTGCTAGCTTGCAGTTCCACTGGAGCTCAGCCTGGGCCCAGTGAAGAGCCTGAGGCCCTCGCCTCTTGCTGCATTGCCATGGCATTCCTTTCGCGGTTCCTGCTGTCTTTCTGGCTTGTTCAGTTCGTGCTGGCGGGCCCTGAGGTGGACGAGCTCTACGCGGAACTTTTGTCCGAAGCTGGAATGCAAAGCTTGATTGCCCCAATGGCAGCCCCTGCTGATACACCTGCAGCATCATCTGATGAGACTGGCGCCGACCCTGCTGGCTGGGCGTCATCTTTATCGAATGGGACTGCTGCACCACCTGCCACACCGACCCTTGGTCGCAAACCGAAGGCGCGCCCTGGTCCTGCGAATCTCTTACATGAGCTGCTCCATGGGCCGCCAACGATTACTGCTGCTGCGGAAGACACAGGCCACGAGGATCTGATGGACGCCTCCAACGAAGAAGGCGCCACCGAGCAAAGTGGCACACCAGCCGAGATCTTTATCGGGTACACGGTGAACACTGATGGCGAGACTGGCGAGGTTTGGGTTCCTGGTCCTGGGCAACATACTCCATCCCCTGCCGTGACAGCTGATGACGAGGAAGCGTTGCAATCAAACATGCCGCCGGGTACTTCTGCATACGACGACACTATGGTTGAAGTGATGCTTGACAGCCCGGACAGCGAGCTTGACGAGCTGCCAGCCTTGCAAGCGCAAGCCATCATGGGCTCAGGGTCTGAAGCTGAAACAGAGCCTCAGCTTACAGAGGACCCCAGTTATGACTCCTCAGAGCCTGAGGCCAGCTGCAGCACTGGAGTACCACATCGTCCTCCTCCAGCCGTTACATCGCGCTCCGGGGTATATGTTCACAGTCAAGCCTGCCAAGCGGTACCAGCCACACGCAGCGTGTCAGTACAAGCGGAGGGCTCGGCCATTGATACCGCGATACAGAAACGGACCATGCCACGTCCGCTACCAACACCCAAATACAGGCGAGAAGGCCAGTCAAGTGATCTTTCTTGCCCTTTCCTTCGGGTTTGTCTCTGGTTTTGGGTTGTAAATTTCAGTCCTGTAATGTACCCAACGGCAGACATGTCTTCACTGTTTTTGCAGGCTGAAGTAATGATGTGCGATGACGCGCGCACGATCCTTATCTGGCAGGACATTGCTACAGCCCCTTGCCCGCAGGAGAATGCAACGTGCTACACATGCCAACCGAAGCCACAGGATGCCGCTGAATCACCTGGCACCCTTGTTATCAGACTGGACCGCTTGGATCCAATTGCACTTGTGTGTTGCGCATGCTCCACTCATGGCAACATGCTATGTTCATCCCACACGGCAGGATCAGCCACATGCAGACAGCTGAGTCCGGCCTTGGACGAACGACTATGCCCTCTGAAGTCAGGGTGGACTGTTACCGCCAGCTGCCTCGACGCTGGACGCAAAATGCATCACTGTGCACAGCCAGAGCAGTCCTGTCCGGAGCCACTTTGCTTCGACTGCCTTATCTCCGAAGAGGCATCATGCATCGACACTCACGGGCAACACGTGCTTACATCCTCAGGTTCTTTTCTGGCTCACCTGTTGATAGAGAAGCCATTGCATCTTTCGCATTGCCTGTCAGAACTGCTCCTTGGTGCCTGCCTGACAAGCCTTACACTTGCCCTCCCATGCCCCTACCCCGGCCCTCACTGTGCACTCAGGACATGGAGAGACTGTACAGCCCGAGCAGCGGCAGCAGTGGGTCCCACAACGCCTCGGACTATCCCAGCCGGGAAAGTCAGCTGGATGTGAGTGTGGAACATGACAGAATCTTGCTTTTGTGTCCTCATCTTGACCCACAGGTCCCTGTTTCGGCTTCCGAAGCAGCCCGCATTGTCTTTCAGGCTTGGAAAGAGCTCACCAACAACAAGACCTGGCACTCCCGGTCCATGTCCAGCGGCACCAGCAGACAAGTCAGGCCGCGACTCCTAGCCCACTCTACGTCAGGGACCTCTGCTGAAAATTCTGATACAGCCTTGCCCTCGGCAACCCATGCCCAGCATGATGAGTGGTGTAGAGCCCTTGGGCGGCGCATTGACGCAGAGCTGAGCGCCATGCCTGATGCAGACAGGGACAGGGCGGTCCAAAGGCTTCTCATGATCATACGGCGTGATGCCCCCGATGCCTCTTGCTGCACCCTCAGCTTTTTGCGGCAATTCGGTGACCTGCCCCACTGCACATTGTACTGTCTCAGGCTGAGATCTTGCGAATGGAGCCGACATCATGGGCAAATGCACGACCAACGGCACAATGCCCCGTTCAGCATGTTGCGTCGGAAAACTGCACTGTTGCAAGCCTGCTGCACCTGTACTGATGCCGATCTATGTCAGCGGACCTGCCGCCCGCAACAGCATATTCATGCCATTGTGCACCATGTGATATCTGCAGAGCCTTCATATTTGTGTGTTGATCCTCACCGCCGGGTTGGTCGTCTCAAGCCCCTGAACTACGGCACAGCGCCCTTGCTTGGGTGCTGCGACATCTTACCTGCGTTGCTCTGGCCTCAATGCACTCGCCTGGTATACACTGCACGGCACGAGATGAGACTGACACCGTTAATTCGCCTTGCCGCAGGTCTGATACATCCTTCACTGCACTACATGCACCAGGCAATGTGTTACTCAGCTCATGCCAATCTGCCAGCCCTGCAACTAGTCTGTGCTGCAAGAGGTCTCCTGCTCCCCCATCATGATGAAGGCAAGCCGAATGCCGTCTACTCCACGAAGTGCCAACGGTGGGGTGCTCATAACGCTCACTCCTGTTCGCAATGTCTCCACTTTCATGCATATGCCACACATGAGACGACCTCGTATCCTTCTGACTGGTGTTGCTGCCTCACACGCTGCCCCTATACCTGCTCAAGATGGACTGCCCCCGAGTCTGATCGGGTCAAGGCACATGCATCATGCCGCCCCGGAAGCCTGGCACTGTGCGACGGCGGCCCTCAATGGCCCCTGAAGCCCCCGTATCCATCCTTCGCAGACGAAGATTCTCGAGTGACACGGGGGGGGGGGAGGAGGACGACCCACTGAAGCTGCAACAGACATCAGTCCCTCTGGCTGTGGCTCCGAGGACTCCTCGGAGGCTCCCCGGGCGACCCACACAACCCTCCACGATACTGCTACACGTTCGAACAGGGCATCCGCCACTGAGGAGCCCACTTCCTCTTCGACCAGAACGGCCTTGGCTCTACGGCGAGGTCTGGAAGCCAGGCATGGCAACAATGGACCATCCAGGTCTCGGACCCCTCCGCACCATGCTGGACGTACATCCTCATCACGGCCACACTCCAACGCCGAACTCAGTCGATTGGACAGCCTACGTGAGCCGGGGGGGCCGCCACCCAGGCGGGGCCCACCCTTGGAAGCACCCGGAATCCCCCCTCCACCCACAGTGGGGCACTTACCAGCTGGACCCCCGCCGCCCACTGCTGGCATGGGACCCGCTCTTCGGCCGCCACCTCATCGTGCGCTCCGACCGATTGCAGACACCCACCCCTCAACACCACCTGTCGGGGACAGCACGGCAGGCGGGCACTCTGCAAGCTTCCCTGGCCCGGCGGGACCCCCCGCACCGCGCCCGGCGGCCATGACCCTGCCCCTCACTTACTCGCCAGAGGGCATACCATCGGTCACTCTCCCGCCCGGATACGGAGCCCGACCGACCAACGGCATACCTGCCTGGGTCAGACCAGCCCGTGCTCCTGGTTTCCTGGGAGGACGACCCCCGCCTGCAAGCATCGCAGCACCGGGCTCCCCCACCACTCCAGCCATCCTCGAGGAAGATGCATGGGATGAAGCAAGGGAGGCACCATGATGACCCTTTGTGCAGCTTGTGGCTTCACGCCTGGATCGTTCCTATGACGCCTGCACTTTTTCATGGCACCCCGGAACCCAGGAAGAGGCTACCTCGTAAACCTTGGATCATTGCTAGCAAAGCCTGGCACCTTCTTCGAAGATGGAAATTCAGATACCTACGCTCGTGCCCTCGGCGCCTGAGAAAACACAATGCCGTCCGCCTCTGGTGCTTGCATGACTGGGTGTCGATTGCACATACCGCCTTTCTTTTCCTCCTTCTTTTCTTGCTTCCCTCTCTCCTTCGCTCTTTGACACACTGTATCCCCAAACCATATGCGCCAGCAAAGGCTGATCGCGGTCCCAAGCCCGCGTCCCGAACGAGAACACGATCCAGGCTGCTCCTGTCACTACTCTTTCTTTGGCAAGTACAAGCAAGCCGTGCTGCATCATTCAGTTCGGGTGAGCCGAGGGTTGGATCAGAGGCCACTGATCCTGGAGCCAGTACCTCACTTCATCCTCGCCATATGCCGGCGAACCCAGGCCACTATGTCCCTACACTAACTGGCTGCAGAAAACGATCTTTTAAGAGAGCAGTCCTTCGTGCCAGACACTTTGGAATTCCTCGCTACCGAGGCAGACTTTGCTCCGTCCATGACCTTCTTGGCCGAGGCGAACAGTCTCATCCGGACACCACGTCTCCACATCGATCCACTCCACGTCCCCCACCACCAGGACTCAGATGCAGCATCATGACCTGGAACGCGGGAGGCTTAACGGTCACAGTATGGAATGAATTCCTCACCTGGCTGTTAAAGACTCCGCATGGGCATGACATCGTATGTATCCAGGAGACGTACTGGCGGGATGATTTTGAGTGGGACGATGATCACTGGTCATACATCCATCATGGAAGCCATAAGCCTAAGGAGGCAGGTCTACTCATGTGCATTTCCAAGAAACTGGCTCAACCACACATGATCAAGCACACCCCTGTCCTTGTCGGCAGGCTGCAACATGTACGCATCTTCTTCCCCAAAGGCCATCAGCCATTAGACGTGCTCCATGTGTACCAACACGCATGGTATCATCAAAAGAACGATGATCAACAGGACTGGTGGAGAGGCGCAACAGAGCGCCGACATCGGTTTCTTCAGAGGCTCCAGGCCACCGTTCGCAGCTTCCCTATTCGCAACCCGCTCTGTCTTATAGGTGACTTCAACACCTCGCTGCCACACATGACAGGGCTCACAGGCATGGGTCGACCCACAAAATCCGGTCCCCAATCCGACACTGCCGATCTGTGTGCGTTCTTAGAAGTCCATCGCCTAGTAGCTTGCAACACCTTTGGCAAGGCTCCTGCCGCTACCTTTGTCAATGAATCCACAGGTGCCGCAACACAGATTGACTTCATCATGCTCAGGCAGTTCCACAGTGATAGGGAGAGCAAAAAGGCCAAGCCGTTCAATTGGCCGGTTGCTGCCTCTCGCAAAGGTGCTCAACATATCCCCGTGCAGGCCAGCTGCTCACTTGAATGGAAGCCATGGGGCCTGTCTTCTGCCCTGGAAATCCAGAACAACATCCAACCCAGGCAAGTTTCCGACGCCCTCAAGCAGGATCCAAATCTGGAGGCCGACTTCGTCTGCAATCTAAAAGTCCGGCTTCCGTCTCAGCCTACTGCTGCCCAGCTCGATCTTGCGCTTAAACAGGCTTGGCATGACACCAGTGCCCGACCTGCCTTATCCCCACCTGACATCAAAGACAGACCCCATGAACAGGTCCTTTCCCTCTGGCAGGCACGTGCGGCGTTGCTCCAGGCACCGGTCTCGGACTCCCAACTTCATAACTGCTTTCACCAGTGGAGACTCCTTGCACCGGCCATTCGAGCTGAACGCCTGTTGAAACAGGCGGCAAGACAGCGCAAACGCGACTTCTTGAATGACTGCTTGTCACAAGCTGAGACAGCAGCTGCATCGGGCAACCACACAGTGGTGTATAGAATGCTCAAGGTGCTTGCCCCCAAGCAACAGCGCAAACGAATTCAAATTCGGACTCCCCAAGGCCAGGTGCAACGCCCTGCTGCTGAACGCGACACCCTTGTCGCGTACTATGAAGAACTTTATCAGGCACCCTCAGCGGAACCTGCACTGGATGCTTGTCCAGTGATATACACTGCTGATCACTGCTTGCGTGCCCTGCGAGCCCTGCCACGACCCAAATCAGTTCTTCCAGGTGCAGCCCCGGGCATACTCTGGGCCCTTGGAGCCAGCGCTATTGCGGAGGAGGCGACCCGCATTCTCAATGATGCGCTCTCCGCACTACCTGACCCGCCACAGCCTGAGCTCACGGACATCTCCCTTTGCCTGTTGCCCAAACCCGCTAAAATAGCTCAGCAACAGATGTGCGTCCGATAAGCCTCTTGCATCCACTCAACAAAATACAGGCAAGTATGCTGGCTTCCATGGTCAAGCCTTTCCTTGACTCCTACCTACGGGGTGTTCCGCAATATGCGTATGTAAGTGGCAGATCTGCGCCTGAGGCACTCGGCAGAGTGTTCTCACACTTGCATTCCGTTCGTCAGCTAGCACCCAAAAAGGAGCGCATGGTCCAACGTCGGCAGCAAGGACTTACTCGCACAGAATGCTCGGGAGGGCTTACCTTCTCCCTGGATGTTGCAAAAGCCTTTGACACCATTCCCAGATGGGTCATTCAAGCTGCTTGCGTTGATGCGGGTATCCCACAGCACATACTACAGCACATCGATGCAGTTCACGCTTATCTCCGAGTTGGCATTAATCACTTTGGGCACTATGGCTCTTGCCGCACAAGCCGCGGCATCCGACAAGGATGTAATCTCGCACCTTCATTATGGTGTCTCGCCACGGCCTTTGTCTATAAGCAATTGCTTAAAGCACTGGGGCCCAAAGCGGCTGAGATTCTCACGCTTTTCGCCGATGATGTCATTGCCCAATGGAAAATCAATGATCTGGCCGAGCTGAGGCAGACAATGAGCCAGCTCACGATCTTGATCGCCACATTGAAGCACTTCGGCATGGATGTCAGCGCACAGAAGAGTGTCATTTTATACTCCTTACATGGGCGCAAGGCCGAAAAGTTCCTGTGCAATGCTCGCTTCAAGCGTGCTGACAAGTGGCACATGCGCGTCAGCCCGGACCTTGACTTCCCAATCGTCCGCCAGCATAAGTACCTAGGGGTTATAATCTCTTATGGCAGCTTTGAAGCCCATACCCTGGAACATCGCATCCACTGTGCCTCCACGGCTTTTTCCAGGCTGCGACATATCCTATGCACCAAGAATGTCTTATCGACGATGAAGAGGGTGCAACTCTGGAAGGCCATCATTTGGCCCACTCTGAAATATGGACTCACGTCTCTCCTTCTGTCTGTCCATGAACAGATCCAGGTGGTTGGATACGTTGCCAGACAACTTCGAGCGATCACTGGGCAGCTGGCCCATCACACGCATGAAACCACTAGAGATTTTCTTGAAAAATGGAAATTTCAGCCGCTGTGCATCTTTTCGGCCGAGGTTGGGACCAACTGCCGGCGGTACGAGGCCCAGGCCGATCTGCATATCACCCGCGTCACACAGTGGCATGCCCTTCTTTCATCCACCTATGCCACAGGGTTGAGCTCCACCCAGGACCGTGCACAACTTACACCTGTCGATGCTGTGATCTCCCGCACATACCAATGCCCAGATTGCCCCTCGTGCTTCGCCACTGCAGGACTGCTGCAAGTACATAGGGTCAAAAGCCATGGCCAAGCCAAGATCCTTGAAAAGCGGAAACAGGCACAAATGCAGAATCAAATCGAGCATGCGCTGCATGGAGTGCCCACATGCAAGCATTGCCTGCATGAGTTTAATGGTTGGCGCAACTTCAACTCTCATATCCTGCTTGGTAACTGCCCTGTCCTGACCGCAGCCACAGCCACACAGGCCAACATTGACACCGCTGTGCCTCCGACTGCATCGATTGAGCCGGCGCCGAACACGGATGCTAACACCTCCGAGTTGGGTGGCCATTCCCCTGTATCCACTTTTGTGCAGACGATTTCACAGGAAAGCTCCTACACTGCACTTGCTGTCACCACAGGCCAAGAATGGAAACGGGTAAGTCGGAGCAGGCCAACTTCATGCTAGGATGAAAAACTTTTGTCCTGAATGCGGGCTGTATGCAGCAAATCCGTCGCGCATCAAGGTACATATGCGTGCCAAGCATAAGGACTGTCTTGATCGGCGAGCATTCTGAAGTGCTTGCCTCCTGTGTTCGAACGCGAAAGCCCTGCGTGTACTGTGGTCAGCACATACCTAAGTCCACCTTTGAGGGCACACATGCAACTGGCTGCTATGTGCTGTGGCAATCTATGTATGCCATGCTGCAATCTGGCCTGACACCCTCAGGTCTCGATTATGTCAGCAAACGCTACCGAGATTCCAGATGGGGAAGAGCTGAACCTCTTCAAAAGATTCATGCCCAGCCAGCAAGCGGAGAAGGAGCAGGAGGATGCCCCGGAAAGGGCTTCGAAGCAGCAGCGCGGGAGCGGACGCCACGGCAAAGGCAAGGGATCCAGTCGGGGCCCTCAGCAGCCAGCCTTTCGTTCCAGGCGCTCTTCGGAAAAGCAGCAGGGCCTCAGCGATCAAAACCTGTTCCTTCTTTGTCAGATGCTGATCCGCCTTGTGCTTCGCCAGGGAGACGCACTGAGGATCTTGGCGCTCGACACCTCACTGGTCCTGTGGCTTCGGACTGGACTTCCAGCAGGAGTCCCAGAAGCGATGTTCACGGCTGCCCAGAAGTGGAAGGAGCTTCGGGAGGCAGGAGAGGTGAAGGCCCCGCTTCGACACATCCTGTGGCTGTGCCTCCTCACAGAGCTCGAAGCCAGGACAGACCCGGCCAAGCTCACGGAGGAGACCAAGACTCACTTAACGAAAATGGGCTTCATCAAGGACGGGCAGTGGCTCTACCTGAAGTGGTCCTTCGAGGAGAACAAGCTGCTGACGGACACTGCCCGGAGCCCCATGACCTCCTGCGAATGTCCCAGGATCCCCAGGTCATCACCAGGTTCCATCCGACTCGCCCGTTGGCACCGGAGCTCAAGAGTCCCACCGTCACGTTCATGCTGTCGATTGCCCTTCGGTCGGAGCAGGCAAACGAGCTTCACTCCAACCTCCTGCGGCTAGCGGGGAACGCGTGCACTCAGGTGGTGGGCATGACACATCGCCAGGAACGTCTCAGTCGGTCCAATCTCGAGAAGCAACTCTCCAAGTACCTTCAGACGGGGGATCTGGCCCCACTGGAGGAGGGCAGTCGACCATCGACTACCCAGATGCAGGCCGGATTCACGCCTCACCCACCAGCAATATCATTTTCAGGGTCGTGCCTTCGTGTCCAGAACACTTAATTTCGGTGCCAAAGCCTCCTCTTGGTGGTGGGGCCGTATTGCTGGAGCCTTGCTTCGGCTTTCACATAAGTTGGTGTGGGTTGCACATCTGATGTTTGCTTATGTGGACGACTACTTCGGCGTCTTTCGCGCTGACACTGCGCTTGTCTCTGCAGGACTCTGGATATTGCTGTTCCTGGCTCTGCGAGTCCCGCTGTCCTGGTCCAAGGCATCCTGGGGTCCATGCGCGCGATGGATAGGCTGGGGCATCGATCTCCGCAGTTGGACCGTGTCTCTGCCTCCGGAGAAACTTTCGAAGATCTTGGAGCCTCTTCGAGCGCTAGCTCGGCCAGGAGCTACACGCATGAAGGTCAAGGAGCTTGAATCGCTCATTGGCAGGCTGCTTTGGCTGACCAGTCTTTGGCACCTGTTGCGCCCCTTGCTGGCCCCCTTGTATAAGATCATGGCTCGCATCCCTTCGTCTTGTGTGGCGGTTCAGCCCTCGCTTTGGCAGTCCATCTGCGCCCTGGTGGACGACGACTGTGTGCTCACGAGGGCTACGTCTCATGCGTCTTTTCCTGCTCGTGCACGCATTTCTCGTGTGGCGAATCGCCAAGTGTTGACGAAAACTGATCTTGTGGGGCACCCTTTCCTGAAAAGGCGTCTGTGGGTTGAAGTGCGCATGCCTGATCATCCTTTTCGCGAGATCAATGATTTGGCTCAAGCGGGACCTCTCAGAGGGCAGGATGCCCGGAAAGTGCTCTTAGAAGCTGATAGATTGTTTTTCGAAAAAAGGGGGGGTTAGCTTGAGCCATGGCAGATGGTGCAGCTTCGGAGCCCCAGACACCGTCCTCTAGTGGGACTGGCACAGTCAGTTTGGTGCATCGGCATGTGGTTGATGTGCATGCTATGTGTGAAAGGCATCAAGATGAACTTGGTGAACTCAGTCGAGCCCTTGAAGACATATCCAGTCGCTTGCGTGTGTTGGAAGCACGTGTTCAACAAAGTGATGCACGCTTATCTTGGCTGGAGTCGTTCGTGAGACGTTTTCGATCAGCTTTCCATGCTCTTTTTCAATGAGCTGGAGACAGTATGAGCCTGGCCCTGAGTGCTGCTCCTTTCTTTTCGCAGTTTTTATGTGGAGCAGGGACACGTGTTTTGCACCTCGTGTTTTTCTTTGAGGCTCGAAGTGCTTCAGGGGGTTGGTACTTATGACTGCCCTCAGGGATTCGTTAGCCCGTCATATTGACGAGAATCATCCCATGGAAGACTCCACTGTGGAGACTCATGCAGATCGTCCTTTCAGCTTCTGTGAATATGATAGAGTTGCTTTGTGGGAGATTGATACGAAAATTATGGAACATCATTCTCGTCTTCGCCGATGTTTACAACACATTGCATCTTTGGAAGGTGACATTCGCAAGGCTCGCGAGTCGTTTTTGACGTTTCAGAGTCAGCAACAGACATCAACGTCAGTTCTTGGCTGTGATGTCGAACAGCTCTTTCAGGCGATCCACGCTTTGCGACACATGGTTGAGCTGCAGTTTGATTTACTTAGGCACCTTCAGGAGTCATTCCGACTTCATGCAGACATGATGGTGTGGTCCCTGACGATCGCGGGGATCAGGATGTACAACCGGGAGCCCATGCCTCCACCTCAGTTCCCATCGTTAGCGATTCGCATGAGGCATTTCAGGCCTGGCCGGAGGCCTGGTCCGTACTCACCATGACTGGTGAATTCGAGACAGATGTGACTGTCCATAGACGAAACCTTGTCAGAAAGGGCAAGAGAAAACAGCGCATCGGTTTGACTTTGGCCGAATGCTGGCAAACCTTATATGTTCGAGCACTTGTAGAGACCATTTTTACTCATGTTATTCTGGTTAACATCAGGATACCTGTAATACCGTTGGATCGTGGCGTCTGCGATGTTGGCGGCCCTGAGCTCAGAGTGCTTGATACATTCGGGAGCAGATCTCGCCTCGGGCCTAGTTGCCTGTTGTCGAGGCTTTGTGTTGGGTACTTTGTTTTGGTTAGAGGAGAAGTGCATTTGTTTGGTAACCTCACGACAAATGACAGACGTATGTGCATCGAGATGCAGTGCAGTGTTGGAGAATCGTTTTGGGACTTGTTTTCTGTGCAAGCTTGATCACACGACCTAGGTCGTGTTTTCGATTCTGAGCCGAAAGCTCGAGCCAGAAGTGCTCTCACGAGAAGTATAGAGCCCAAGAGGGCCGGGCGAGAAGGGCCGTGCAGCCACGTGACGTGTATCAACACGGAAAGGAAGGATCAGCACCGCAGAGTATCGGTGGTAGGCACAGATGTGGTCATTGCAGCAAGTGTTCGTGAATTATTTGTTTTTCTTTGGCCCAAAACCTTAGTTCGTGGCGAGACTCGCCGGGGCATTTTTGTGCAGGAGCACGGAACCTGTGACACGAAGGCAGGTGCCTGGTGGGTCAGATGTACCCATGGCCTTTGATGCCACCTTTTGGGACGGATTCCCGGGGCAGACGCCGTAGGCGCCGTAGCAGCTCAGACTCGCGCTCAAGAGAGCGAACGAGAGATCGTTCAAGGGGTCGGCGTGGGTCCAGGAGGACGGAACGCAGCCGTGGGAGCACCCCACCCCGCCGCGAAACGGCGCCACCACCCATGCCACCACCACCCGCGTTGCCTATGGCAAGCCCAGGGCATGTATGGCAACAGGTGCCGGTGATGCAGCAACCGGCCTTGATCGGACCAGGGGGCAATGTGCAAGAGACACCCTCCAGTTGGAGAGACAGTTGGAAGTCTCAGTCTCAATGGAAGAAACCCCAACGGCCATGGAACAAGTGGCAGAGTGAGAATTGGAAGAAAAGCGAGCCTCAGGACAGGCCTGCTGCGAGTTATGATGTTAAGGAGGCCACACCTGAGGAAATCAAGGCGGCCGAAGCCCGAAAGGCAGCTGCCGATAAGGCAGGACAAGAGGAGCTCTCCCTGGAAGATGAAGAAGCTGATGATGGGGAATACCTCAAAGCCCTATGGGAGTCGGCCAACACGGCAGCTTGGGCTGCCACGGATCGACCCCTCAGCGCACGGGAGTTGGTCGAGAAGGGGCAGCTTGAGCCCTGGTGGAAGTACCCGTGGAACAAGATCGCGGCCCAATTTGCCGAAGCCTCGGAGTACAAGCCCCATATGTCCCACCTTTCGGTGCCTGATGCAGTTGCTGGCAGAATGGCCACGATTATGGGGGCCTTCCGGCATTACGGACGTCCATTGGAGGGCGATGGTGATCTTGCCCAGAAGGTTGGGCCGGAGATGTTCACTTTTGATGTCCCGGGCCAGAACGTTTTGTTCGTGGGATGCAACATCAAGGGGCCGAGCTTTGTCCATGACCCCAACTATGCTAACCAGGCCACGATGTGTCATGGCACAAGTTTTGCCTCGGTGATTGGCGTGGCCCAATGTGGAGAAATCACTGTGGGGGACAATCGTGAAGATGGTTTCCCGGCTTATGGATTTTCTGCTCGGGGTGCCCTAGTGGGGTACTCGAAAGATTCCATGGTGGCTGCTGTGAAGAAGACAGCGAGCCGGGCTAAGTCCCTCGGAGGGGCTATGTTGGTGGTGGAAGCCGAGCTCCCGGGGCCCACTCCTCAGGTGGAAGGTGGGCACGATTACCTCCACTCGGCATGCCGAGACTCGGGCTCTGTACGCTCGAGTGAGCATTTTCTGCTCTCGCCCAAGCATGTTGTGCTTCGCGGCATAGCAGTGGGGTGGCCTCGCTGACAGGGTGAGCCGGACCCTTAGTATGAACAGCACAGGATGCAGCGATCAGGCAGATCGGAAACAATTCAGTTTGCACATGTGAGTGTTTGCACATGTGAGTGTTGTGTCGCTGCACATGCATCCAATGCCCCAGCAGGGATAACTCACTTTGTTTTTCTGTGACAGATCGGCTCAGTATTCATGTAGCATCTGAACAGCCTAGCATGTTGTGCATTTTTGACCCGATGAAGGCGATGTTCCCTCAAGGGTTGGGCGTGCCTTACCAGGGCGGGAGAACACAACCGATGACTGCCTTAACAGCTGGCACGCAGTCTTCGACAAGTATCGCAGATACAGCAACGTCGCATTGCCAGGCCTGGACTCGTGCAGTTAAGGCCCGTCGGGGAGCGAGCTCGCGAGACCGCCAGCACGAAGCTTATCAGAAGATTTTGCTCTTACTCCAATCCTTTGCTAGTTTCTTTGACTTGTGCACTCTCATGGAGGATGATACAGAGACTGGTCAGGACTCATTGCAGGCGATTCTGGCTGGCAAATCCCCAGCCACAGTTTTGAAGCATGTGGGGCCAATTCGCACATTTTGTGAATGGCTGGTAAAGTCAGGGAACCTTCCTCCTTTTCCTGAAAAGGTCGTTTGGTCTTTTGTCAACTGCGTCTTGAAGCTGCCCCGAACAGCTGCCACCACTTTGGATACGTGTCTAAAGGCCATCAAATGGAGTTATCATGCCCTGGGATTGCGGGTACGTCTTGAAGTTTTTCAGAGTGCACGTGTCAACGGACTGGTGGCTAAAGCTCTGGCCAACAAGAGTCCATGGGACCCGGCTCCCCCTCTGCAGGTACACGAGGTGTTGCAGCTTCATGCAATCGCTCAGGATGAGGGCATCTCCCTTATCGATAGATGTGGTGCAGTTCATTTTCTGGCCATGCTTTACGGCAGAGCTAGAGCTTCTGATGTTCGTTGTATTCAACCTTTGATTATTGACAAGAGTGGCGCGGATTGGAGTCACGGTTTCATTGAACTAGGTACCCTCCACCATAAAACTTCGCGGCTTGATGCTCAGCAACGCCGAATCCTTCCCTTGGTGATTCCGGGAATTGGTATTGCTAAAGTCCCGTTGGGACAACTGCTGCTGGAGTTGAGAGATGAAGCTGGGTTGCTGAATGATGGGATTGATGTCCCTTTCCTGCCGGCCCCTCGGCCTGATGGGAGTTGGTCTTCGGACCCCCTGTCATCTAGTGAAGTGACCCGCTGGCTGCGTTTTCTACTTCCTCGTCCTGATTCAGAAAAGCCATTGTCTAGTCATTCTCTCAAGGCGACCACCCTCGTGTGGTGCTCCAAATTCGGCATGCTGAGGGAGACTAAGCGCGTTCTTGGTCATCACGCTGACGCTGCTACAGGATCAGACGCGGTGTACGGTCGGGAGCTGCAGAGTGCTGCGTTGCGCGAGTACATCATTATCCTGGAAGCGGTTGCGTCAGGAAAATTCTTTCCTGACCAAACTAGGAGCGGCCACTTTGCTCAAGGCTGGAACCGTCAAAAGATCATGGAGTCCGCGGCGGTTACACCTGGAGATGATGAAACCAGTCAGGGGGACACGCCCGACGATCAGGACGCTGCTTTGGCTGTAGTTTCAGACGCTTCTGATTCGGAGGAGGATAATTCGGTGAGCCCCTCCTACTGGGCTCACCCTACAAGTCAGGTCTTGCACAGAACCACACTTGGGTCTGCTTTGTTTTTGTGCGGTAGAGCTTTTGGCGATCACTACCGCCGCGTCCCTATGGTCAGGGCACATGCTTACCCTCAGTGTTCTAAATGTTTCTCTTAGAGCCACTTTCCCCTCATGGAGAGGTGGTGAGCACGAGCGTAGTTGGAAAATAGCAGGGTGAGTTTGCCGTCATGC